TAGGAACAGTGTTACAGCACTTAAAATGTACATATCCACTCAATGATTTTAGAAGATCCTCCTGGTTGTTAGACATTTGAGCCTCTGATTTGTATCTAAGGAAGAGATTTCTCTGTGTCTGGAATGTGGTCGGTTTTCTTCCTCCCCCTAGTGAAAGCCCAAGGTCTTCCTCTCCACAAACAAAGAAGAATTCCAAGTGGAATGGCTTAATACCCAGAACTAATTAGTTACTAAGAAGTCAGCCAAATGGAAGCCCAAAATGGAGCCACTAAAAATGCATTTTAAATTCGTATGCCAGCACTTTGGACAAACCTTAGTTCCCCCCATCCCCACTGCAATTCAAAAGTAGGGATGATAAAGCTGAGGTGAAAGCCAGGCGGGAGATCCATGACCAGCAGCAGCCCATGTTCCATCGCAAAGCCATCTCGCACCAAAGCACAAAGCCTTCACCAGGCTTCGTATGAGTAGTTTGGGGGGTTCGACCTAGGGGCTATTCCTAGTTTATCTTTACCGTGACGAGTTGGCCTGCCTTGATTGTGTAAAGCCAGTCGTAAAGTGCCTTTTTAGGGACCTAAAGGCTTTTAAAGGCTGAGGGTCCTGTCTGCATTTTCCAGGACAAGTGTTCAAAATCCATGTCTTCTGTGGACTGAATTATGGACAAAGTGGACATGGAGGGGGGACAAGGAGGCTCTCGGCTGGACCCCACTCCAGGATGGGGGACTCTGGAAAAAGATCTGGGGTCGTGGTGGATAGTCAGCTCTACATGAGCTCCCAATGCAACACTGTAGCCAAAAGGGCTAATCCAATCCAATAATAATTGGATGCAGAAACGGGAGAATCTTGAATAGGAGCAGAGAAGTTATTTGACCTCTGTATTTGACTGCTGGAATGCTGTATCCAGTTGTGGTGCCCACAGTTCAAGAGAGATGTTGATAAATTGGAGAGAGTTCAGGGAAGAGCCCCAAGAATAATTAAAGGATTAGAAAACTTGCCTTATAGCAATAGACTCAAGAAGCTCAATCTATTTAGCTTAACAAAGAGGAAGGCTAAGGGGTGACTCCATCACAGTCTATACATATCTATTCAGGGGAAAAAACATCAATATTTGATAATGGGCTCGTCAATCTAGCAGACAAGGATACAGCATGATTCAATGGCTGGAAGCTGAAGCTCGACACATTCAGACTGGAGGTAGTTAAAGCAAAGGCCTGTAGAAACATTCTAATTTTCTATTAAACTCTACTGGGCTTTTCCATAGGAGAAGAGGGCAGAGACCTCAAACTGGGAATTCCTGCAATCCAGTGGCCTTCCCTAGTTGGGTTCTGAGGAGTCTCGCCTCTAAACTTCTGAGAGTTTGGGAGAGAAGAATTTCAGCCAGACTGTAAATTCTATGGCACAGGGACCACCAACGCCTGGCAGCGTTTGGCCCTGATCTCTTCTGGGGCCCTTAGGTGCTATTGTAATACAAATGATGCAGTATTGTTATTACTCTGTATTTATTTCCATTACAATGGCACTTCGGCCAACCCCCACCAAGATCAGGACCCTATTGTGCTTTGTGCTACATAGAGACCTAGTAAGAGACAGTCCCTCTCCCCAAAAGCTTATAATCTAAAGAAGACAGAAAAGAGTGGGAGAGGGAACAGTGGTGAAGTGACTTGCCCAAGGTTACCCAGCAAGTCAATGGCAGTGCTGGGAACAGAGCTGGGTCTCCTGATTCCCAATCCAGTGTCCTATCCATTGGAGCACACTGTCAGGCACGTACATACCTAAGTCTTGATTTTTGTGCCCAGTCTGTTCCTTCTGATGTCACAGACAATGTGCCTGGCGATTTTAATGGCTAGAGACTCAGATCCAAGAGGTGGGATTTTGGTGTCTGGTAAAGGAGCTCCCATTTGAAAGCTGAGCTCCTCATGTCGGTATCTTTCTGCCTGTGGATTTTAGTCAAACTCTTAACACTTTTAACATGCTGCAGGTTGTTATTCTGGTTAATGAACACTACATTATTGTAAGGATATGCTTCACCTAGACATACTATTTACTAGTAACATCAGTGAAAAGACACATTAACTGTCTTCTGCAAATCTAATGTTGCAATGTCAAAAAATGTTGCAAGTTTCTGATGGTCAAAAAATCTCTACCCAACAAAACTCATAAAACTGCTGTAAGAAAAACACGGAATTTCTTTGTTTTTAGTAGGTAAGTAGAAGTAAAATTATGAGCCTTTAAACTAAAACAATAATCTTTTCATGTAGCTTGAGACCCGCTCAATCAATAATCTGTCTGCTAACGCTGGGGAGAATTTTAGTTGTTTTCATAAAATGTTTTAATTATTTAAAATCATAAAATATAAGTAGGCACAATTTGCTTGGAACTCATTAGGGAAATAAATGAATAACAGGAAAAGATAATGTTTGCTTCTGCATTAATTTAAAGCAGTCTACAATATGAAATCTTAATCTGGAAAGCAGTGACTTATCATCAATGTTTACTTTTAATATTTATTCCTATTATATGAAAGTAGCTAGTTATGTGCTTTTCCCTACAGTATTGTGCTGAGGCAAAGAGGTAGATAAATAACTTGTTTGAAATCATACATTAATTTCTGTCTTTTATATGTTATATGTTTGTTCATTTCCTCTTTCAAAGTGGCACCTTTAAAATTATTACGGTAAAACAGGTTATTTAGAACCCACGAGTAGCTGCAAATGCATGGGACCAATTTCCGTGTGATTGGAGTTATGCAGGGGGAATGCTTTGTATTTATACAGTAACTTTCATCCTGAGTTAAATCACAAAGAATGTAAAGTGCTGTACATGCAGCACTAATGAAGTGCAGCTACCTCTGGGATGGCACACAGCAGGCTAGGGAACAGCTGTGCACAACAAGAGAAGAAACAGAATTTCCACCTTTAGTTCCTCTACTGTTGTAGTGGAAATTTGCCAAACAGCTCTACAGAAGCGCGTGTTTTTATTGTGTCAGGTATGCACCTTCTTGTACTTATGACATAAGCAAGATACTGTGCCATGGATAATGTGAAAACGCGGCAGATAATATTTTACCCTAACTCCTGCATTTATCCTGCTGAGAATTAGATGGTCTGGAACAAATCCAGCATAGCATTTGATTTGGAAGTGAATTCACTACGTATTTGATGTTGTCTGATTGTTCAGAGACAAGACAATAAATCTTTCCACCAGTGCTTTGATTTATTCCCCATCTCCCTGTTTTATTAACATGGCCCAGGTTGCAATCTCAGTCCAGATTTACACCAGCATGACTAATTCCATCAAGTCCACGGCCCCCTGATGGGAATCTCAGCCATGTCCACCACTCTTGCGTCTGAAAATCCGGTGAGCACAGACTTTGTCAGTTACTGTCTGATCCTTCCTGCTTGTGATGGGGCTGGAAATCTCATGAAAAGCAGAGGAAATGGTAGCAGGTCAGCCGTTCTCCCACAGTGCAGCAGCCACAAAGAGAATGAAAAACAGTGAAAGCAAAAGTCCACTGAACCTTTCTGAGACTGGGTTGGAGCGCTGGGGCTTGAGTTCTAACTTCATCTAATCTAACCCAGTTTGCTCATCCGTAGGTTGACACTGGATGCTGCTGTTTATTTATGTAGCTAGAGTGTTGGGGCGAAGAGTGTGCAGGGTAGAGAAAAGCAATCATTTTGGGGGCCCGTGCCTGGAGTTCTGAGCTTGGGACGTGTAGGGTGCCTCATATTAGCTGAGGTTTTTACTTTAGTCACACTGAGGCTGCTTCCTTAAATATACAAGAGTAAGGACCCAACCCTGGCCCCTGTGACTCAGGTGTTGTGGAAGAGAACATGAGGAACATAGAGCCAGATTCAATAGCCAGGGAAGTCAATGGGAGTTTTGGGCATTGGATGAGCCCCTTACTGGGTTTGTCTAGATTAGGAAGGGAATGTGTTCTAAAATACACCACGGACTACTCCACCTGTCCATTGCAGCTGCAGGCCATAGGGCTGGATTTCTTCCCAGCACTGGAGAGCATGCAAGAGGCACCCCTAGCTAGCAATGCAGTGGCCTGTGTGTCATATCCCCAAGCTGGAGCAAACTGCTGGTTAGATTGACCTGGGCCAGTAACTCGTTCCTATGTATATTACGACTAGCAGCCAAGCTCCTTTTAGCCTAGCAGCAAGGACTACACCCCTGTGTGTCTCCTCTCAGCCTGCCCTGGAGGATCCTGCTGGCTAGGGATTCCAGCAGCAGGTTTCTCTTAGACAGTACTCCATTCATTGCATCATTAGGGGCTCTTTCATTATAAGCTTTCTCACTCTCCCCACTCAATCAGCTTCTATGAGCAGCAGCCCAAATACAACAAAGCAAAAAGTCACGTGATAAACATGTGCAGCCATCAGACAGGCAAAGAACCTGGCAGGCGTTCATTGAATAAAGAGAACACAGCAACCTAACCTAACCTAGCAACCTCAAGCAAATGAGAACTATCTTGCTTCTAAAATCTCCACCCACAGAGCAAATTCCCCCTCTGATATGCACCATTATTCTCAGTCCTGTATGCAGTACTTGGTTCAGCGATATCAGTGCAACGGCTGGATTGTGACGGGCTTAGAAATGGGGCCTGAGAATGAGAGATGCCCAGCGTGGCCTGGAGAGGAGAGTTTTCCTCTAAGGTTTCAGAGTAGCAGCCGTGTTAGTCTGTATCCGCAAAAAGAAAAGGTGTACTTGTGGCACCTTAGAGACTAACCAAGTCTCTAATACAATTAGTATCTAGTCTCTAATACAATTAGTATTTAGTCTCTAATACAATTAGTATTTTAGAGACTAAATAAGTCTCTAAGATACTAATTGTATCCAGTTAGCAAATTAATTCCAATTAACTTAGGCTTGAATAAAGACTGTGAGTGGATGGGTCATTACACAAAGTAAAACTATTCTCCCCCCACCCCCCTCTGTTCCTCAGACTTTCTTGTCAACTGCTGGAAATGGCCCACCTTGATTATAACTACAAAAGGTGTGCCCCCCCCCCCACTCTCCTGCTGGTAATAGCCCACCTTAAGTGATCACTCTCGTTACAGTGTGTATGGTAACACCCATTGTTTCATGTTCTCTGTGTATATAAAATCTCCCCACTGCATTTTCCACTGAATGCATCCGATGAAGTGAGCTGTAGCTCACGAAAGCTTATGCTCAAATAAATTGGTTAGTCTCTAAGGTGCCACAAGTACTCCTTTCCTCTAAGGTTTGGAGCTGTTGGTTTAGTTCTTTGTCTTTTCCAAGCTGCAGATAATGGTGAGTTTCTAGTGTCCTGTGTCTGGGCACAGCAGAGGGAGCCATAGTGTCCTGAGACAGATTACTTCACCTTAATTCATTAGCTCGTTAGGTAAAATCTGTAAGACTTTGCCATTCCGGTTCCATTTGTACAGCACCTAGCACAGCGAGGCTCTGACCCTGCTTGGGCCCTCTGGCGGTTACTGCAATACAAGTAATAAAGAGCAGTAATATAGACATTGTGGCACTTTCTTTGGACAGATCCTGCCACCCCAACTCAGCTGAGTAAGGATTGCAGACTTTTTACTCTTGGGTGCCAAACCACAGTCTGCTCTTGTGCCCACTGATGCCAAGGACATAACTCCCTTGACAGCACCGGGCTCTTTGCTTGTGCAATGATGCCCCTGGTTAAGTCATCCATGGGGCCTGAACTCCGGACTTTGTGACCCCAAAACATGCTTCGACTGCCTGAGCTAAAGGATCGGGGTTGTTGCCTTACAGGCAGTAGCAGGCTCTATGCTCCCACTAGAGGGGGACAAAAGAACCATGCTTTTCATCTCATAATCAAAGTGCAAATCCCCATTGCCCCCACAAATTCCCCAAAGCTGATTTACCACTTGAATTAAACTACAATTATGTGTTATCAGCAGTCACTTTATAGTAAGGTTGCAGGATTAAATGCAGTTAACTGTGATGAATTCCAGACACACAGGACAGAAGTCTGAAGAGAAGGCCAGGCTCTGAATAACTGGAAGATAGAGTGTAATGTATTCTAAATATTTGATTCAATTAAGCTTCCTTCTGCTCTTTGTTTCAGTTTACAGATGGCTCATCAATCTACAGTTCAGGGACACACCGCTGTTCTTTCTAATGGTAATTATGTGATCAGGATGGAGACAGGTTTGATTAAACACTTGCATGATGTTCTGCATATTTTAAATGGAGCAGCGTCCTGAGCAGAAGCGATACATTGGCCTTGTGCATGCAGATTTAGCCTCATTCACGCAGTAGACCCCATCTGAGCGAAATGAGTGTCTAGTACTGGGGGGGGGGGGGGGGGGCTTTGTGGGTGAAATGAGGTGGTTCCTAGGCTCTAAAGAGAAACTACGGGGACTGCTGAGAAGTAGAGCGAGTGGAAAAAACTTCACTTGAAATTATTATTATTATTTTTTTCTTTTTGAACGGCTGGACTAGTAGACAGTCTCTTGAGGAAGGGTCATGGTCCACAAGTCGCACACAAGTCTCTTTTGACTAGTGTGTGACAAATCGAATGACGAATGCAGCCAGTAGCAATAAGTACCTAGATAGCTAGAGCTTCACTAGACCAGTTTTGCTGGAAATCTGTAGGATCCTCACAGTAAAGTAAAAGGGGGGGGAAGTCTTATCCTACTCCTCCCTGAGTTGCCCTAGGCACAAATTGAGACCAATGTTCTGGAACAGATGGGTACTGAGGAAATAGTTTCTATCGCAACATGCATGAGACAAGCACCTGTGCCTGCCTGGCTTCTTAGCAGGCCAGAAAGCGCAAGCTATACAGCAGTGGTCTCCAACCTTTTTATGCCAAAGATCATTTTTTGAATTTAAGGGCAACCCAGGATCTACCCTGCCCCTTCCCCAAAGCCCTGCCCCACTCTCTCCTCCCGCCTGCCCCCCAGGTCGCTTGCTCGCCCCCATCCTCAGTCACTTTCACCGGGCTGGGGTTGGGGTTCTGGAGGGGGTGCGGGCTCTGGGCTGAGCCTGGGGCAGGGGATTGGAGTGCAAGAGGGGGTGAGGGGTGCAAGGTATGGGAGGGAGTTTGGGTTCAGGAGGGGGCTCCGGGCTGGGGCAGAGTGTTGGGGTACAGGAGGGGATACAGAGTGCTGGCTCTGGGAGGGAGAGGTCAGGGCTGGGGCAGGAGGTTGGGGTAGGGGGTTGGGATGCAGGAGGGAGCATGGGGTGCTGACTCTGGGAGGGGGGGGTCAGGGCTGGGGCAGAGTGTTTGGGTGCAGGAGGGGGTACAGGGTGCTGGCTCTGGGACGGGGGCTCAGGGCCGGGGTGTGGCTTCCTGCCGGGCAGCACTTACCTCTGGCAGCTCCTGGTTTATGGTGTAGCATGGCTGCCGCTAAGGCAGGCTCCCAGCCTAGCCCGCCCCCCCACGCCACTCCCGGAAGGGCTAACGTGCCCCTGTGGCCCCTGACGGAGGGTCGGGGGACACATGGCTCTGCACGCTTCCCCCTCTGTAAGCACCACCCCTGCAGCTCTCATTGGCCACAGCTCCCCGTTCCTGGCCAATGGGAGCTGTGGGGGCGGTGCTTGCAGACAGGAGCAGCACACAGAGGGAAACCCCCACCCCTCTGGGGCTGCACTGGCCACTTCCGGGAGCGGTGTGGGGCCAGCGCAGGCAGGAAGCCTGTCTTAGGGGCAGCCCCGCTGCGCCGCCGCTGTAGATAGCAATTGACTGGTTGGTGACCATTGCAGTGTACAAGGGGATACTGTATCAGGTACTGGGCATGAGCAACAATGCTACAGGCTCCATGCTGTTTGAGAAATTGATCTTACAGGGAGCTCACAGCCTGATTACACAGTGCCCATCTCTTGTTTTCTTAAGTCTTCACAACCTTATATGTCACTGGCAGCCATCATTCTGTACCCACTGCATCCCTGCCACTTGTTCCGTAAGTAAGATAACGAGGAACAGCAGCACGCATCTGGCTATGTCCTCTGCATTGTTTAAATCAGCAACACTAACAAAACTGTAGAGTGGCAATCCTCTAACCAGAGTATGTGTCCGCCTACCTCACCAGTCTCCTGGCAACGCTAATGTTATGCTACCTCCCATTCTCCGATTTGTTGCGAGCGTGACCCTTTTGCTCTTCTGTCAGTGGCACACAGGTTTCATTGTGCTGGGTTACAGCTGCTTTCCTCTCCTGGTTACTCATGCTGCTTCCTGGCTTCATTTCTAGAGTGATTTACAGGGCCACTCCTAAGAGATGGTAAGCACTGTTAAATCCCCTTCGAGAAAATGAAAGCCAAGGAAAGATGGTCTCTTGGTTAACACGCTGAACCGGGCCTGGAGACATCAGGGCTCCATTCCTGGCAGTGCTACAGATTCCCTGTGGGATCTTGGGTAAATCACTTAATCTTTCACTGCTTCAGTGCCCACCCTTTGTCTGTCTTGCCTGTGTAAATGTAAGCTCTTTACAACGGGGAATGTCTGTGTCTCATAATACAAATAATAGTCATTCAGTGTCTTGAAGGAGTGGGCCCTGAAAGAGATTCCTTCCCTCTCTCACAGTCTCTTACAAAGACAACCTACTGTGGGTTTTTCTTTTTATTATGATATAAAATTATATTCAATTTTAATATAAATCTTTTTTTCTACCATTGTACTTAGATACCTGTAGTTTTTCTGTTCATTTCAAGGGCTGTTTTCCCAGCTTTCTGCTCTTCTGCTGAGACACAAGTTCACAGCACAGCTGCTCCTCATGCTCCACCTTAGTTTTGCCTGAAGATTTGGTGCTTCTCTGTCTCCCTTCCATTGCTCAGCATTTTTCTCCCACTACAGCTTGAACGCTAGTGTCACTCCATCCCCCATGGGGAGCATGCTGATATTGACCCGTACATCTCGGAAGATCTTCTCATTGAGGTGGTGGAGGCTTTGGGTTTCCAGATCGTTCTTGCTTGGCTTCAACACTTTCCCGTGCCATAAAACCTAGTGTAAAAAAAGAATCCCGTGCACACAATCACCCTTATGTTCAAGGTGCACGCTACATCTGACCAGGCTGTGGATGGCACTGACAGTCCAAAGGGAAACGTAGGGTCAAGAGAGAACTTTCTTATTAGAGTTTACAAGACTATGGGCTTCTCTACATTCAGAGTTGTAAGTGTTTAACTAAAAGTGTGATTTTTTAAACTGATGAAGTTTAAAAGATGCAAAAGGTTGTGTGGACACACTGCAGTTTAATCCAGATTTATTTCAGTTTATTTTAAACCCATTCAAAAGAGGTTGGAGCTAAACCAACATAAGCCTGGTTTAAACTCATGTAAGTCTATCCACACAGCCTTTTTACAAGCATGTGTTGACAACCCCTTTAACTGCCTTTTGTTAGGCCTTGTCTACACCACAAAGTTTTGCTAGCATAGGTATGTTGGCTCGGAGGGGGGGTAGGTGGGGAAGCACACCCCCAGCCAATATAGCTAAGCTGGCAAAACTCCCAGTTTAGACATAACTATGCCAACAAAAGACTGCTTCTGTTGGCTTAGCTAATGTCACGCAGGAAGGTGGTATAGCCATGCTGGCAGAACTCCTGTTGCTGTATACAGTGTCTCCAATAGGAGGCTTGGCTGGCATGGCTATCCCAGGCCAGGCTGTGGTAGTGTAGAAAAGCCCTTGATTATCACAGTGTATCAGATCACAAAGTAGTTGGACAAATCAGGAGTTTGGTTGAAGAGCATTATAATATTTTGCATTTATACTGATAACGCACCACACAGCGGCAGCATACTCCAGTGGGACTGGGAGTCCAGAGTCTATTCCCTGACTTTATGACCTTTGGCAAGTCACTTAATCTTTCTGGTCCTGATTCAGCAGTCCATCCCTATTCAGCCTACCACTTAAGCACATGCTTAACTTTAGGCATGTGCTTGAATCTCATTAGCGTCAATGGAACTTAAGCTTAAGTGACAGGTTGAATAGGGACAAACTCCAGTACATATGTAAATGCTTTGCTTAATTTGGGCCTCTCTGTTTTCACATCTATTTATTGGGGACACCTATACCCAGCTACTCTCATAGTGTGCTTTGATATCCTTGGGAAGAAGGTTCTATAGAAATGCAACATATCTCAGAGTTCTTCGCAAATATGAAGCCTCAGCTCAGCCCTTACAAATAAGTTAAGCCTAATAGAAATAGGTAGACATATGAAAATGTATAGACAGTCCAAAAACAACTAACACTGATCCCTCTCTTTCTTTTTGTGATATACACTTCAATAGTTTCTCTTAAGTATTTGGAAGTCACTTGTAACATGATGATGAATAAAGCAAATGTAGTTTTAGGTATTATGAACAGTTTACAATTGTAGAAGATGCCCTGTAGAAGGATATAACTGTTAAATATCAATATCCTACAAAACATTCTGTAGGTAATACATGAATAGCTTGATAAGATGTTGGTATTCTGCACTTCGTGTGTGTGTGGGCTGAAGTGTACATATATACAGGTTAATGCAAGGTCCTTTTAGTTGCTGCAGATATTAGCTGCGTGTGTCATTAATAGGTAAATAGAACAATCATGTCTTTTTTTTAATCACATTTATATAACTTGGAAACTGAATGCTGTCTTTGGGATCTATGTCCCCTGGGTCCAGGTTGTTACTGGAACTATCTAATGTGACTTAAAGTGCGGGTTCCAGTGGGTTAATACTTACATTAGCAATGGCTATGATTCCCCCTTTCCTTACAAGACGTAAACATTTTTCATAGTACTCATTGTAACTCTGTTTATCTGAATCTATGAAAGCAAAGTCATAGGTCCCAGCTTCACCATCTGCCAGTAGTTCATCTAGACAGGAAACAAAGTGTGTTGTGATGCCCTGGTTTAACGCTGAATAAAGGGATGAGACAATCCATGTGTGTCAAGGCTCAGAGTCTACAAGGGTCTGGAGAAGCTTACTATCCAATTTTAAAAGCAGCCAGAGCCATAGTGTAGACTGTAGACATGATACTCCTAAATTTGGTTGAGTAAGAGCAGGTCAGGATCCTTTAAACTGGGTTTACGCTACTTCTCCTGTTAGTTTTAAAATCAGCTTAGCTGAACTGGTTTAAAAGCTGGTTAGAAATTTTCTCCCTGTAGAAAGACCCTGGATGTTAAATGAATTTTCAGATTGACCAATCAACTGCTGACCACAGTGTTGTAAGTTGGGTCATGCAGAATTCTTACCCAGAAGGCCTTTCGTGGACTTTGCCTGAACATGCATAACCTTTGTGTAATCACAGATGGCAGCAAGGGGTGGTCACCCAGTGGGCTTTTCTCAGGAGTCTCTCATTCCATTTTCCCTTTTTTGGGCCAAAACAAGCAGAACTGGGGTCTGTTAAAACTTTCTTACGCTGCACTCTGGCTGACAGCTCCACACTGGAACTGTCAGCTGCAGAGACCATGGCTCTGGTCCTCCTGAGGGCACTGGAAGCTGAGAGAGAAGTACTTGGCTGTTTATAGCCACACCCACCACCGTGTGTTTTGGGAGGGGACCCCATTTGGAATCTCACTCCCCATTGCAGCATCTCAGTAGTGACCTCCACAGAGGAGAAGGGGAAGAGAGATAGGGTGTTGAGAGGGTATGAAGGAGCAAGGAGCTCATGCAAGTTATCTGCCCCTCTCAAATTGCTTTGCACCCTCTTGTTTTGGAAAACAACTCATGAGGCCTTTTCTGCATGGGGTTAAAGTCAGCAGACAGCCCTGTTGTTATCAGAGTTTGTCTGGGTATGCTGGAGAGCAGAATGTGGCCCAGACAGGGCTAATGTTTGTGCCAGAAGAGAGTGGGTGACAGGCCGCATTAGTCTAGCTACCAGGGAGGACAGCAGCATCAGTCACACTAAGAAGACACTGCCCCATGTGCTAGACTGCTGCTGGACAGTCATTTCTCTTAAAGACACTTCTTCTGAAAAGCTGAGTGTTGGCAAAGCAGCAGCATCCACTGGTGGAATAGATCATTGGCATTCACAATGGGAATAAACCGCTTTTCTGACAGAAAATTTCCCTCCCTAATGCTGCTCCCCTGTGAAACAGTGCTTCCTATTATACAAACTTGCTCTGCATCTGCCTCTTCCGTGGTCTTGGAAGGCTTTGCTTCCTCCTGACCACGAATACCAAACTGAATTTCCCCAGATCAGAAATGTCCTGCCTCTGATGCTTGTACGCTAGTTTCTCGACTCCCTCTGCATCTTTCGCTCCTCGGAGAAGACTTTGCTTGCCTAGAATAAACAGATAATCACTTAGAATAGACACTTCATGGGAGAGAAATTGGGCTTTGTCCAATTTAAATCCATCTTAAGCAGCTTTCCCTGTGATAGAATCAGCAAGACAATACCTCTTTTAATATTAAACACAGCAATGGGTTGAGTGGGTAAGTGACCAATCTAACAACGGATGGTGGACGAACAGTTATCCACTCTCTCTCTCTCTCTCTCCCCCAGTATCCGGAAACAGCTGAACTCTTCCTAAATTTCCTTTATATAACAGAGAAGCTGCCCACTGTGACTGATGAAATTGCGTGTTCACCTTTGCTATACAACTCCTAATCTCAGACTTCACATGAGGGACTTCTCCCCAGCCTCGGTCTTCAGCCTGTACTTTTCATATTTGTTATGTTACCTACCAAGTGTTTGAATTGCTGGTTTATACCGCAAGTCTATTTTATGCTCCACTCCTGCCTGAAACGAAAGAGGAAAGGGATTTGATGGAAATAGTTGTGAAATATCTTAAAGTGGGACGCACTCAGAAAAGTCACCATAAAACTGGAGATCCCATACCTACTCTCCCTGTTACTTCCAGAATTCATATAACATTTGGTCGAACAGGCCAAGTTTACCAAGTTGCCTCAACTATACTATAGTGCCTAAAGTGAATGCTCACATTCTGTGACACTTGGATTTGGGTGGATAAGTTGGGTAACCCTATAACCTGATTCTTTCCTGCAGCGGCCACATATACACGTCTGAGACTTAGAGGGAAACAGAATTAAGCCCTCCTGGAACATACTCCTACAATTCTGAGCACTCCTATTCAGAGCATGCAGCATTTAGGGACGGGCAGAGACTATTTACCTCTTTCCACAGCGGCTTTCCAATACTGATGTAATCTTCATTTATATCGCAGGCAACGACTTTGCCATCATCTGGCAAGACTAGTGCCATGTTTAAGGTATTATAGCCTGTAAAAACACCTAGAAAACACATGAGAGAAAGATGTAAGACTCATTTGACCATGAAAACTGATTTAACTGTGGACAAGAAGGGTTTTTTTTATTAAAGAATAAAACCCTCAGAAGAGCTGAGGATCCCAAATTACTCATGAATTAATGCTGTCCGTCCCATTACCATGGTAGCATTGTGTAGCTGCTGAAGCCCAATGGACTAGTGGCTGTGAACTCGTTAGTTCTCTAGCTAAATTTACAGCTTTCGTCTGTCAAGGGTCTCCTGGCCTCAGAGTACCATCCTGTATGGCATGAGTTTGACTTTAGGGCGTCTCTGAAGGGAAAAAGGAAGAGGAGGGAAGGGAGCCATGGCCAGCATAGCACACTGAATCCTCGTGGGCTGTGTCTGTTGTTCTCTACCTGCAGTAGTTGGCAGCTGCTGTGGATTCTCTAGCCCTGAAAAACAGGGGCTTGAGAATCTCCCTTAGGTCCACCCAAGCCAAGCCCTTTCACTTGGGCTTTGCTTTCTTCTTCCGCTTTTGTCCCATGGTGCTTTCCATGTAAGCCGCTCACACTGCTGTACTGTCAGCCTTGAATTAGGCTTCACCACACCCCTGAGAGGCTGCTATTATCCCCATTGTACAGATGAGGAAACTGAGGCAGGGAAGTCAGGGTCAACACTTTCAGGCATGGCCACTGATATTAAGTACCCAAACTGTGTCCCCTGGCACCTGATTTCCGGAGGTGCTGAGCACTCACCACTGCAGTTGATGTCAGCGGGGGCTGGTGATTTACAGCACCTTTAAGAATCAGGAACAGGTGTCTCAACTTGGGCACCCAATATCAGTGGTCACTATTGAAAATTTGACTTGCCCCAGGTCAGAGGCAAGAAGCTAACTGAAGGATCCTGCTCTGACCACCTCCCATCACCCTTGGTGTTCTTTGGTAGGCTTGGTGAAGCAGGGAATTATGCTGATATAGCTTCCAAATGATCGGTGTTGGGCCATGCCCTAGCAAACGTGCATTCTTACCTATTTCAATAGCTTTCTTGGCTTTGATGAGTTTGGCCAAGTTTGCCATAAGCTGGGCCTGGTCACAAGACACCATCATTCTACTCCAGGGATGGTCCAAGGTGAGCTAGCAAAGGAAATGATACAAAACTGAAAGGAAGCAGGAAAAGTAAAACTACCCTGAAGTTGCTCTTTCAGGCAGACCCCAAGAGCCCAATGTGATCCTCGGGGTGAGGACAGCATTGGGGTTTATTATTACTGTTGATCTCAGAGAAGCAATTTCTCTTCATTTACCAAAGAAGATACACGTATAAGCAGCTACCATTGTTGTGGGCAAACTTAACAGTGAGGGTAAGTAACCATAGGAGCAACTTACGTAGGGATAGGGGGAAATTCTCTGTTACCTGAAGTCTCAAAATCAAGATTGCTGTCTTTCTACAAGTCACGCTCTAGCTCAGCCAGAAGCTATGGGCTTGATGCAAGAATTGCTGGCTGGAATTCTATGGCCTTCTATGACTAGAGGATCATAATGGGTCTTTCTGGCCTTAAAATCAACACATTTGTTTTCTACTTAAATATTTTATATAGGGAGCAATGCAATGATTATGGAGGGGTAGTTTAGCCCAGTGGATAAGGCACTGCCCTACCCTGCCCTGCCCTGGGACCCAGGAGAGCTGGGTTCTATTCTGGCCTTCTGGGTGCCATGGGGCAAGCCACTTCAGTAGTGGGAATCAGGTACTTAAAGAGCTTTGAGACTCTGGGCCTTAGATACCACTACAAATCTGCATACCAGTGGATAGAGAAAAGGCAGTTCTTTGGGGACTAGCAGATCTATGTACTGGACACAGACACAGGCACAAACAATATTGAAATGCCTCAATCTATTTAGTTTCACAAAGAAAAGGTTAAAGGGCGACTTGTTTACAGTCTGTAAGTACCTACGTGGGGAACAAATATTTAATAATGAGCTCTTCAAGCTAGCAGAGAAAGGTCTAACATGATCCAATGGCTGGAAGTTGAAGCTAGACAAATTCAGACAGGAAATAAAGCATGCATTTTTGACAGCGTAATTAACGATCAGAACAATTTACCAAAGGTCGTGGTGGATTCTCTATCACTGATCATTTTAAAATTAAGATTGGATGTTTTTCTAAAAGAGCCACTCTAAGAATTATTTTGGGGCAGTTCTCTGGCCTGTGTTATACAGGAGGTCAAACTAGGTGATCACAGTGGTGCCTTCTGGCCATGGACTCTATGAATCATGGGACATTAATAGCAGTACTGTATACACACCACGCTCCACAAAACGTATCATGAGAAAAACACTGACCAGTCGCAGCTTCTTTAGGACTGGATGCTCCCGCAGAGAGTGATCCAATATGTATTGCCATAACGGGCTCCCTTTTCCAAGAAGAGTCTTGGATGATCGGGGAATTCCAAAAGCTAAAAATGGATATTTTTTACCTATAAAAAAAATTAAGATATTAAAAGGTTTTGTGTCTCAATGGAAAAAGTTTGCAATGACCAGTTATGCCTTGAGCAAATAAAGACCAAGAAAACTGCCACTGAAGGCTAACAGAACCTTGCTCTGCAAACCCCCTAGACAGCTCAGGGGATTGGCAGTAGGATTAGAGGTTTTTCACCTCTAAAGCGTCTGTTCAAATCCAGCCTAGGTCTGCAGTGACTGTAAGCTGACGCTGATGTCGTTCAGTGGCTGATTTTGCCATGAGACGGCACGTTTAATTCAAGGATCTCAAAGCATTTTTCCTAATAATATCCCTGCTTTACAGAGGGGCAAACTGAGGCACAGAGAGGTCTGGTGACTTGCCACGATGACCCAGCGAGTCAGTGACAGAGCGAGGGACAGAACACGAGCATCCTAGTCCCTGTTCCTCTGCTCAGACCATGCTTCCTCTCACCCCAGCTGATGGGAGAAAATTATCAGCTGCTCTTCTCACCAAAAGAAAAAGCCAAGACCAGGATGCTAAGATGGCAATTTCCAATGTGCTAAGGAGGATACATGTCTGTCTGCAGTCATCCTGCAAGGGGAGGGCTGAGACAGCTCACAGCAGATTTGCTAAGCCCTGGGCCTTTTAATCCTGAGCAGAAGAGCTAGTGGGAGGTGTGCTTTGCAGCCTATTGTAGTGCAGTGGCGTAGTGGGTTATACAGACAGACTGGGCCCTTAACAGCATTGTATATTTACTGCCAGAGCGTAGTCAAATCTTGGCCTATAACCCAGTCCTTGTGTTCAGTTCTTGCTAGAAAAGGTCTTTTGGAGAGGACACTCTATCTTGCTATTCACTCTGAGTAGGTTCCCATGTATGCATAAAAACAACGAGGAGTTCGGTGGCACCTTAAAGACTAACAGATTTATTTGGGCATAAGCTTTCGCGGGTAAACTCCCCCCCCCCCCACTTCTTCATGCATCTACATGATGATGCATGCATCTTCCTGCAACCCAATCTTCTTCATGCAGCTACCCCTCTGATACTTGGCACCGTGTATACATAATGCAACCACAAAATGGGGTAGATGTTTGCTTTTACTGTTCAGCTTATTGAGAACAGACAGACAGTACAAACTGTGAAGCTAAAGCTCAGATCCTGATTTTCCTATACGGGGTCTGTTTGGAGCCTGGACTCTGGCTCACGATATTATGGAAATAGGCGCTAGTTGCAAATTGTTGACAACTCTTGTGAGTTTCACAGTATTTGGTCTCTCTTTCCCAGCTGCAATCACATGATTCCAAGAAGAAAAGGAGTACTTGTGGCACCTTAGAGACTAACCAATTTATTTGAGCATGAGCTTTCGTGAGCTACAGCTCACTTCATCGGATGCATTCAGTGGAAACTGCAGAAGACATTATATACACAGAGACCATGAAACAATACCTTCTCCCACCCCACTCTCCTGCTGGTAATAGCTTATCTAAAGTGATCACTCTCCTTACAATGTGTATGATAATCAAGTTGGGCCATTTCCAGCACAAATCCAGGTTTTCTCACCCCCCTCCCCCCCTTTCCAAAAACCACACACACAAACTCACTCTCCTGCTGGTAATAGCTTATCCAAAGCGACCACTCTCCCTACAATGTGTATGAAAATCAAGGTGGGCCCATTTCCAGCATAAATCCAGGTTTTCTCACCCCCCCGCCCCATACACACACACACACACATACACACACAAACTCACTCTCCTGCTGGTAATAGCTTATCCAAAGTGACCACTCTCCCTACAATGTGCACGATAATCAAGGTGGGCCATTTCCAGCACAAATCCAGGTCTTCTCACCCCCCCCCCCCGACACACACACAAACTCACTCTCCTGCTGGTAATAGCTCATCCAAACTGACCACTCTCTTTACAATGTGTATGATAATCGAGGTGGGCCATTTCCAGCATAAATCCAAGTTTAACCAGAACATCCGGGGGGAGGGGGGGTAGGAGAAAACAAGGGGAAATAGGCTACCTTGCATAATGACTTAGCCACTCCCAATCTCTATTTAAGCCTAAATTAATAGTATCCAACACCTACAAGATCTCTATCAAGCATTCTTACAACTACAATACCCACCTGCGGAAGTGAAGAAACAGATTGATAAGAGCCAGAAGAGTTCCCAGAAGTCACCTACTACAGGACAGGCCTAACAAAGAAAATAACAGAACGCCACTAGCCATCACCTTCAGCCCCCAACTAAAACCCCTCCGACGCATTATTAAGGATCTACAAGCTATCCTGAAGGATGACCCAACACTCTCACAAATCTTGGGAGACAGGCTGGTCCTTGCCTACAGACAGCCCCCCAACCTGAAGCAAATACTCACCAACAACAACACACCACACAACAGAACCACTAACCCAGGAACCTATCCTTGCAACAAAGCCCGTTGCCAACTGTGCCCACATATCTATTCAGGGGACACCATCACAGGGCTTAATAACATCAGCCACACTATCAGAGGCTCGTTCACCTGCACATCCACCAATGTGATATATGCCATCATGTGCCAGCAATGTCCCTCTGTCATGTACACTGGTCAAACTGGACAGTCTCTACGTAAAAGAATAAATGGACACAAATCAGACGTCAAGAATTATAACATTCATAAACCAGTTGGAGAACACTTCAATCTCTCTGGTCACGCAGTTACAGACATGAAGGTCGCTATCTTACAACAAAAAAACTTCAAATCCAGACTCCAGCGAGAAACTGCTGAATTGGAATTCATTTGCAAATTGGATACTATTAATTTAGGCTTAAATAGAGACTGGGAGTGGCTAAGTCATTATGCAAGGTAGCCTATTTCCCCTTGTTTTTTCCTACCCCCCCCCCGACGTTCTGGTTAAACTTGGATTTATGCTGGAAATGGCCCACCTCGATTATCATACACATTGTAAGGAGAGTGGTCAGTTTGGATGAGCTATTACCAGCAGGAGAGTGAGTTTGTGTGTGTGTCGGGGGGGGGGGGGGTGAGAAGACCTGGATTTGTGCTGGAAATGGCCCACCTTGATTATTGTGCACATTGTAGGGAGAGTGGTCACTTTGGATAAGCTATTACCAGCAGGAGAGTGAGTTTGTGTGTGTGTGTTTTTTTTTGGGGGGGGGGGGTGAGAAAACCTGGATTTGTGCTGGAAATGGCCCACCTTGATTATCATACACATTGTAAGGAGAGTGATCACTTTAGATAGGCTATTACCAGCAGGAGAGTGGGGTGGGAGGAGGTATTGTTTCATGGTCTCTGTGTATATAATGTCTTCTGCAGTTTCCACTGAATGCATCCGATGAAGTGAGCTGTAGCTCACAAAAGCTTATGCTCAAATAAATTGGTCAGTCTCTAAGGTGCCACAAGTACTCCTCTTCTTTTTGCAAATACAGACTAAGACTAAGACTGTTACTCTGATTCCAAGAGACTCTCAACTTTTTTTTTTTTAAAGAAAGTTTAGCCCTTATTGTTGCAGAGGGAAAAAAAAAAAAAACTTGAACATGGGACTCCTAAAGGATCAGAACCCAAGTTTTATTTTTCTGCAAACCTCATGATTTGTAAGCCAAATCTCACGATTTTCAATGCTTGGGGCTAGCTATACTGCAGGATGCGCAGCATGCAATCTTGCCCAATGTGCACAGGGTTTGCCATGGATTCCGATAAGTGCTAATCCTACAATGAGATCTGCTAGTGCAAACCCATGCAGAGTCCTAAGACAGGCAAAGGAGTCCACCCGAGTCACTCTCATTGCAGGATCAGGATTTTATTTGGTCTCCTGCCTCAGGCAGTGGCCAGCTTCTGACACGGGAAGGTGAACCAGCCAGCGTGCCCCTGGGCAGTGCTTGGGGACTGGAGTAAGGGGAATTCCTTCCTGAGCCCATGCCCAACCTGGGAGTTGTCAGCCTGTGACCTGAAGCATAAGATTCCATTACCCTCGTTAAAAAGGATATTGTTAATCTCCAGGCCTTTTGCAAAATTTAACCACAACCTTTAAGTCTATAGAAAGCTCTCTCTTCTCTCTCCCCCTCGCGCTCTCCCTATACAATATTCTGCACCTTCACTTGGCTAACATTCTAGAAGCCAGCAGTTTTAAGGCCGGCGCCGTCAGCCCTTTTTCCTCTCCCCTTCCCCCAGCATCTAGTAAATTACTTTCTCACCCACGCGCGCGCACACACTTTTTTTTTTTTAAAATGGGTGGTAAAGTGCGGCTGGATGGAGCACACTTGGTGGCTGTGCTTTGAATCAGAGCGCTGCCTCCTTCTGTTCAACGCGAGCTCACTTCTGGCCCTGGGTCTGGGAACTGGGAGGGTGTGGTGGATTTTATAGATCCGAGAAGAAAGCAGCGCTTACCTGCTAAGACTCCAGTAGCAAAAGCAACCCCTAGGACTGCAGTTCCAATGGCCATTTCTTTAGTTATACTGAAAAAGGGCATTTTGGGTAACGGAGGAAGAAGGAAACAGCAGCAAGATGCAAAATGGATGTTGTTGCGTGCTGCAGCTTTAAGACCAATGACTAACTCACTGAGTGCATTAGGGTTCCTCAGCTAGTAAGCATCACGTGTTTGCAGGGCCTGAGCAAGCATTGCAGCCACGTGATGATCACAAACTACAGTGGGGAGAGAGCAACATCTACAGGCAAGAACAAACAGGGCTTGCTGTAATTCTTTTTATTTATGAGCACTGGCATCTTACAGTGGAGAAGCGAGGCACTCTGAATGAGGCATGAAATCATCATAAACTCAGGTTACAAGTCAGTGCTTGCAAAATTAGCATTTAAATGTTCTAAGGGAATCCAAAGCAATCTCCACTGCAATTGTGGAATCTAATTTTGCAATTACTGGGGAATCTCTGGTTTGGATTACAACAGCCTCAGGCTCTGGGAGATGAAAAAATAGTTAGCAGCGTGACTATAAAGGTCTGCAATATTTATTGTTTTATAGGCAGGGTGTTTGTTTCTGTTAAGATGAATAAATAACTTTGCACCTGGAGGGTCTCAATATTAAAGAAGTTGGTGTAAAATACTTCCAGGGTCTGCAAGACCCAGCTACGTAGGGGCAGTGTGGTCGGGCCATTGGACTGAGAGATTTGGGTTTATTCCCAGCTCTATAGTAACCTGCTGTGTGACCTTGCACAAGCCACTTCTTTTTCTTTCCTTCCCCTCCCACCCTGTGTCTGTCTGTTTTGATTGTAAGCTGTCTGGGGCAGGGAGTCTCACACTACCTGCATCTAGTCCAGTGGGGCTCAGACAGAAACTGCAGGTGCTACTGTAGCACATATACAAATAATAAATAATGCAGCACCTTTCACCTGAATCCCAACTGTATCAAGAAGTACTCTGTAATAGAGTGGCCTGCTTTGGTAAGGCCAAGAGGCCAGGTTCTAGCCAGCCCTCTTCAGTCAGCCCAACCTGTGCCATTCTTAGTTTCCTTCCATTCTAAGGGGACTGGACTAATTGGGGCCAGGTGACAGCCTGAAACTCTGGGCCCTCATAAAAGGGCTCAGAAAAGTCTGTAGAACTACAGAGAACAAGTTAGGCTCTTACGGAAAGCCTGGAAGTTGGGTCTGGAAGGACTCCAGGGAAGAAGCTTGCAAGTCAGGGCTTTGTCTCAGAGGGGCTGAGTCTGTGAAGGGGGAGAGGGCTCCGGGGAAGTAACCTGGAAATTGGGCCTCCATCCTGGAGACTTAAAGGTAACCCAAGAGGGGCTGGGAACGGAATCTAAAAATGAGCTCAAGTAGGGTGGAAAAACCTTTTGTTGGTATAGGATGTCTGTTCCCCGGGAAGGGGACTGAACTCTGAGAGTATCCCTGCCAGAGGGCTGAGCCATATGAATCCCCTTGAGAGACAGAAAACCTTGGTGAGGGGAAACTGAGGCAGGGAGTACCATGATTGGCCTGTAGGGGGTGCTCCAGGGCAGGTATACCCTATTACATACCCTTATGATCCCATTTTACAGGTGGGGAAATTGACACATAGAGAAGTTGTGTGATTTGTCCAAAGGATGAATCAGCCTGAGTCAGGAACGGAAATTGGGTCTGTTGATTCCCAGTCTCCTGGTCCCACCAATGTGATCTTAGACCCCCCAGTTCTGTTAGGTTCTCTGTTTTCTGTTCTGCTGGGCATAGAGCTATAGGTGACAACATCTGAAGGCAAATAATAATAATACCTAAAGGGTCAGAGGAGGTGGAAGGGACCAGCTGCTCTTATCCCTCATAGAAAGAGAGGGGAGGTGACTTTCTCTCTGAGGTATGCAGTGGAGGATAAAGGCTAGTCCCATCTCACTGTTTAACAAAGGTACTTCCCCTTATAAGCAAAAGCACAGGCCAGCATGCAGGGTTCTGCTCCTGGGAGCATCAGCAGGAGCAGGGAAGGGGACCAAACCAGAAAGGGAAGGAAAAGGAGTCAGTGAGTGCCCAAAGGCCAGAGTCACTCCTGGTTTGTGCTAGCAGATGCTATGGTGTATGCCACTTGGGAGCGGTTACGATGATGTATGACAACCTCAACTTCGTTCTTCAGGGCGGGGCTGCCCACTGCCCGAGGAATGGCCAGGACTGAGGAGGCCGTAGGGCTGGCCAAGTTGCTAGAGACGTGCACTGATTCTGTTCTAGTCAGGTTCTTAGCCCACCTGCCTCCCCATGCTACCTGAGCACCTGCCGCTAGTGCATGAAGTGTCATGACTAACTTCTGTTACGAGTGGTTCATTCTCTCTCTCCGCCTCCCCGGCAGAGTCCTTGGTGTGCAGGAGAGTGGTTTGCTTTGACGGGGTTTGGGTGGTGGCTGTTTTCAAATGCTACACTGATTCAGTGTAGCCTGGTGCTAGACTCTCTGGAGGGGCTCCCAATGCACCCCTCCCCATCCCAGTGGAAACTAAGGCTGCCCTCCCGAGTGTAGCCCTCGAGAGAGCCACATGGGGAATACTACCTACCCTTCCCTGTCAGGGACAGTTGCTCCCACTGGGGTGCAGTAGGCTTCACTGGCACAAGAAGGAGCCTGAGCCTGCATGAATCTGATCCTGTATTATGCCTTGCCCCTTCAAGAGGAGAACAGAATTTTTCTTTAAAGGGGAAATAATTAAAAAACCCGACCGTGCTCCCATTTCATTGTAGGATGCACGTGTAGGCTTCTCGCACACACAGTGCACATTATAGATGGGCCCGGGAGCCCAGGCTTTGGGATTTGGAAAACCCAAAGCAAGGATGGCTCGGGTGTGTGATGTTATGCAGATAAGTGCTGCAGGGGCTGAAATCAGTGGCAAGTCAGGACAGGGGTTTGCTCTCACAGAGCCTGCTGCACGATGGGGTCCTACAACGTGGGGCAGGGATGGCATGGGAGGGGATGGAAGTTGGTAAAAGGTTCCAGTTTTTGCACATCCCTAACTCATAGGAACAAAATAACTGACCATCAGTTCCTTCGTGTAGACCTGGCCTAGAAACGTTGGCAGTATAATGTCAGTTAAGGATGTGATTTTTTTTTTTAAATGAGATTTTTAAACTGGCAAAAGAGTGCTTTTGCTCGTACAGCTCATTTCATTCAGGGAACTAGTATAAACTATCCCAGCAAAAGCACAGTTTTGCCAGTGGAAGCTGTCTTCACTAGGAGCATTTGCTGGTATAGCTATGTGGATAGTAAATGTTGTCTAGCGTAGACTAGACCTTGCTTGACAAGGACTTGAGTTCAGAGCTCTGCAATTCTCTTACAACAGCTGATTGTTCAGGTGTTTGCCATAATCTGCTCTGCTTCACCACTTGTAGGAGTAACACGAGAAATCTAATCTTAGGTTCTTGGCAAACACGTTTTAAAAGTGAGCCGAAAGATATTTTGATTTTCGAAGACTACACGAGTGTATATTTGATTTGGGATCTCACCACTTTCTCTGTGTTCATTTGCTTTTGGAAATGAAGGCATTTCAGTCCCTCTTTTAAATTGCTGCCTTACCAAGGAAGCAGTTAGAAGACATCCTTTTCAAGGCAAGCAAAAGCGTGTGAGGCAATCACAGTGCAACAAACTCCGCTAGGGGCTATAAATCAGATTTGTGACTATGTAGCTCCATCTAGTGGTTATTCTGAATAACTCTAGGGAGAGATTTACTACCGGAAATACTTGTGTTTACATAGAACAGTCTGTAAATTTCAACACTTTCTGTAAATGAGCACACAGGGTTGTGATTTCAGGCCCCATTTCAGCAGGGTACTTAATCATGTGTCTAACTTTAAGCTTGATGGTAGTTTCACTGAAGTCAGTGGGACTATACATGGAATGGGATTACTTATGTATGTTGTTAGGCATGTGCTCAGCACCTTGCTGAACTGGAGCCTGAATGTTCTTACTAAGCAGTAATTACTCCCCCAGGTGGGAGAGTATTGTAATTTGCCAATCTACAGGGTCTAGCAGTTTTTCCTTTGGTTTAGGTATCTAACTTACATGCATCTAAATATTGGCTGTCACTGAAGTGTAGAAGTTTGAGGTATAGCTCAATCGCTAGAGAGTTAGTTTCTAAACTGAATAGAAGGCAGCCAGCCACTTTTCTGAGACATAATTTCCATTTTACGTAGCTCAGTGGTATGCTAACTGAATAGGAAACGTTAGCTGTCCACCGAATTAGTTCAGATGCAGGCATGCAATGTGCCTGCAGTTATCTGAGCACTCGAATGTTTTGGTAGAAGTCTAGCAGGAGAGGAGTGTGGGAAATAGGTACTGAACTAAGGTTGGCTGTTCTGTTCAGATAAAGACACTAGCCAGTCTGAACTAGACTTGAAAGCAAAATCTGCCCTCGTTTACGTGCAATCCTACTGCAGTCAACTGACTGCCCCATGAAGGACGTAGGATTGCACAGTTTGTAAGCAAGTTGTTCCCCCGTGTAGTTAGTTCAGTAGATATCGTGGTTCAATGCATGTTCACTGGGACCCAGTTCCTGAAGCACAAGGTAGCCTGAGGACTTCCCCGACTGGAAGCCACCAAGAGTCCATATTCCTGGAGCATGGAGATCAGGCAGGGTTTGAGTTCAAGGCTGGCCAATCACTGGACAGTAGTAGAGTTTGTCCTCCTTTTTTGCTTCTCTTGTTAATTAGCCATAGGGCTGCTTTGTCTGGGATATCTGATCATTTCTTTGTTAGCCATGAAATCCTGCACCTGTAGTGAATACAACAATCCATGTGTGTGGGAGAGTGGGCTGCTTGACCACCATCCATGCACCCCTGCAGATAGGACTGGGGAAGCATATGCCTAATGATAAAGATGAAGGGCATCACATCTGACCTTCTGGAGTTTCACACTCTTGAGCAATGGGATTCCTGTGGCTGCCCCTTAACCTGGATTTCCAGCATGGCACAATGTTACTTGGTCACTGAGCCACCAGCAGAGAATGTTAAGAGGGTGCAATGGGGTTCGCTTCTAGCTCTTTTTCATTCTATTATTCTTCCATGTATCAGTTGCATGAACTGAATCCCAGAGTGCAATCAGCCCTTTCCGAGACACTAATGCTGTTCTGTGACCTGCTTCTAGGTGTTGCTAAAGGGTAAGATTGT